GACAATGTCGAAACTGTCTCTCTCAAAATGGAAATCTCCCTGTGTGACATCTTTAGGAGAAGCCATTATTCTCAGAGGTTTAAAGGACCCTCCTCCTCCTCCTCCTCCAAGCGTGAAGGAGAAACTACGGTGGCCGCCAAACGTGTGAAAAACATTAACCACCCATGTAGAGCCAGTGTTTGGTTTGGTCGTTCTGGGCTACTGTAGAAACATGGCGGACCAAAATAGGGGCTAAAAACACAAGGATTTTTATGTGCATTAAAGAAAACATACCTATGAATATTATTAATTATATTCAGAAGAGAATGGAGAATGTCTCAACACGACATCAAATATGTTCAGAAGCAACACACCTGAGAATAAAACAAACCCACCAATAAAAACAAAACAAACAAACAAAAGCAGCCCGATTGTCAGCCTCCATATGGTTGTTCTTTAAAAGCATCAAAACATGGATTTTCCCCCCATCCGAGCGGGATATGGAATCAGGAAGCTCCTGACTAATCCGCTCCGCAAACACAGTGATGCTGCACTTTTGTGAAGGCGTGTACGGGGTAGGCACAAATGACAAGAGTGGCACGATGGAAAACGCACAGATACAGAGGAAATAAACAAGACGAACGCAACAACACAGCAATCAATCCCAGAATTCTCAAACGGTCTCTGAACGGCCTTAAAACGAGAGACAGAGAGACAGAGAGACAGAGAGGGAGAGAGGGAGAGACAGAGAGGGAGAGACAGAGAGGGAGAGAGGGAGAGACAGAGAGACAGAGGGGGAGATGATAGTTTCCCCATTATTCCACTGTCACTGTGCCACCTCACCAGCTGGGTGGGAGCGGCCTACTTCAGCACAAAAGCACATCAAGTGTACGCACTTAAGAGGAAAACAAGCCTGATTCTGTGTCTTTTGTGAAAGAGCAAACAGGTCCGAATAGACTGTAACGGACTCCAGTCACCGGAGACGTGGCTGGGCTGTCCAACAGTTGTGCACAGACAAGGAGCAGACTTGTCAGAGCTGCAGGAGCTCTCCTGAACGCTCCACTGTCCTTTCCCTGAAACCTGGCTGTCAGTGAAGCTCTTCTTTCATCGATTAACTGTCTTTCCGCAGGAGGCTTTGAGGAGAGGCCAGGCTTTTGGAGACACACAGGCTGATTGTTTCTCTCTCTCCAACCCTCCCCGTCTTCCCTTCTTTCTCTGATAGCTCAGCCGTTACAAAAGATGATATCATCCCTCCTCACTGCACGCCAGAGTGAGCTGAAGACGAGCCCATGTGTGTGTGCACCTGTGCAGTGGGTGTGATGCTTTATCAAGACACAGAACAGACAGTGTGAATCACATTCTGGGAAACAAAATCCCACCGGAGCCGAACCACACACGGAACCTCAAATGTACCCTGAAAAGCCGGCAGCAGCATCAGGAGTTTAACCGGCTGGAACTGGGTCACCGTGCTTAAAATGAAATGAGGCTGATAATTTATAGATACAGTGTGTGTGTGTGTGTG